AGGGTGTTAGAATATGGCTGTGTGTACAGTTTAATATATCAAACATACAAGAAAATAATAGTTATGAAATAGTTCCAGAAATCTACCCCATCCATTAACCTATAATTAAGTTCAGGAAAAGCATTTGTATATCAACATACCTTATCATAAACATTGACTAGATGCTATATGTTGTTTGGAACAAGATGGAATACGAGTTTGTGCTTGATGTTTTATGAGTTGACATTTTCATAGAAGGAAGAGGACCATCATCGGGTGGTTGAAACTGGCCCTTATAAAAGGGTGGAGTCAATGACTTGAAAGTTGTAGTATTCCTAAATATTCATCTGTGTGTTTCTGGATACGACACAGCTCAGCAAATAGCAGTGCTTTTTCAAAAAATAAAATTATGAATTTGGAAAAGTATGAAAACCAAATGACCAGGTAGATAATAGCAGCAATTCTTCCTAGGGGAGACATTCATAGGAGAGATATGATAGCAGTGTTCCAATATTTGAGGGCTTCCTACAAAGACGGAGGAGTCAAACTATTTTCCAAAGCATCAAAAGGCAAGAAACAATGGATGGAAACTAACCAAGGAGAGAAGCAACCTAGAACTAAGGAGAAATTTTCTAACGGTGAGAACAATCAGTCAATGGAATGGCTTGCCTTCAGAAGTTGTGGGTGCTCCATCACTAGAGGCTTTCAAAAAAGAGACTGGACAACCATTTGTCTGAAATGGTATAGGGTCTCCTGCTGGAGCAGGGGGTTCTAGCAGACTAGAAGGCCTCCAAAATCCTTTCCAACCAGTGGTGGGATTCAAAATTTTTACTACCGGTTCTGTGGGTGTGGCTTAGTGGGTGTGGCAGGGGAAGGATACTGTAAAATCTCCGGTCAGAGGTGGCATTTGCGCTATTGGTTCTCCAGAACTGGTCAGAACCAGCTGAATACCGCCTCTGTGTCCAACTCTATTATTCTATGTTCTATGTTCCTTCTCATTGTTGTCCATAGAGTCAGGAGTGGAATTACAGGCAGTAGATTCTGTAGATGCTTACTGTAGATATGCCAAGAAAATTTTTTTTTAAGAGATATTGTAGTGAAATGCATAAAGTAAGAGAGAGAAGTCTGTTACTGCATTCTTTTAGGATGTTTTACCAATTTCTCAGTCTAGTCCAATGACAGAATTCCCCAGTCACCCATAGATCCACACATCTTCAGGATGCCAAGGATGGGAAACACTTACATTCTTAGTATTCTTTGATCTCCCTTCCGAGCACTAACCAGCTTAAATTCCAAATCTAGGTAAAATATATAGCTGATTCTTGAGCATAATTAAGTTCAGTGATTATTATTCACTGGATCCCAGGAACTCATTCTATTAATGACAATTATTTCATATCAATGAATAATAATAAAATATAGTTAACTAAATTTGCAATGTATTGGTCAGGAGAGCTTCCAAACCATGCATCTCTTTGGGAAAGAGAATGCCAGCTAAACTATCTTCATTCCCTTACAGTCTAACTTAGGGTGTGTATAGTACTAAATTTTGTTGAATTATTTGTTAGGCAATTAAAAAATCAGGAAGTATTCCTTTAAAAATTTTTTTAAGTGATTGGAAGATTGGTGAGATTAAAAAGTGGAGGGGCGGTAAATGGAGCCTTCATCTTCAGCATTTCTAAAAGAAGATTTATTGAACATGGCAATATTTGCAAGGCTGTATCAGTTTGTTTTTCTTGTATAGTTGGGCTATTTTACCTTTAAGATACTGTAGATGTGTAAAGTACATCAGTCTACAGAATAAATGGAACAATTTTCTCCCTTTGAAGTTTTAGAATATATACTTTAATCTTACATGTTATTCTCTTCCAGGCAGTGTTAAAAGTTTGGTACAGTATATGCATTTTTTCTTGGAGAACTGGGGTTAAAAATGGCTTGTGTTATCTTAGAAGAGTTTAATGTTATACCATTTGGAAGCTACATTAGATATTATTGTTAAGGCTTTGCTTACATTTACAGGTGGCTGTTCAACATCTGTCAGATGTAATGTTTTGGAACACAATTAAGTTAGTTTCTACTGCAAAAGATGTTGTCTTACATTGGTTGATTAAGCTGATGAATTGATTCATATTTTATACCAAAGGAATTTTATTCTTTCTTTTGTTTTTGGATAATTGGACAAAATAAACCCCAATAGCATTATGATAATATTAATGAACAATGGAAGTATATCAAATATCAAGCTGAAAGTATGGCATTATGCAACATATTTCAGTACATGTGTACTTAGAGATGACTTTCTCTCTCTATCCTTGATTAAGATGTTAGAGACCAGCAATTCCAATCAGACTGTCATTTGTCAGTGGAGAAATGCTACAGTTCCCTGATTCACAGCTAAGGTTTTCTGGGAATTTCAATTTCCAGAAGAAAATTTAGTCTGGGGATTTGGACCATTGCATTCCAAAATAAATAAGGTCCATGTTTTATTTCCTGTTTAAGGAATTTGCACAACAAAATTCCACAGTCATATAATACTTGCAAGAGATTGATATCCACCACACTCATGAATTAATCAAAGCCTGGCACTCTACAAGCAATTCCATCAACGGATACATTGACCTACAGCCAGCCTACGAACCCTTCAGAATCCAAATCAACTGAACAGCCAACCAGAGGCAGAACTGGCTCTCAACCTATCCATGCAACTCCCCCCACTTCACCTCTCAATGACCCTGACCTGATATACGCTCCTTATCACAAGGCCCATCACAAGAATCACTGATGACTCACACCTGACCCATCACAAGACCCTCACTTGATATACCCACACCTGAAGCCCTTATCAACAGAAGAACACTGACACTGACATTCCCTAAACTATGAAGATGTTAACTAAAAGCAACCTACAAGTTTGGAGAATGATCCTCCATTCTCATATAGATATCTGTTGGGAATCATCAGTAATTCTTTTTTAGCATTAGATCTTCTCATGCTATGTAGCATATTGGGCAGAATCATAACTAATAGTCACAATTAATAAAGCTATGTAACATATTTTCCCCCTTTCTTGTGGGTGTGTTACCCTCTCATCTGATTACAGAAGTATTTCCTATGTCCCAGTCATTTCGCTATAGTTCATGCTGGATGAGATATATGGGTTTGTCTTTTCAAAATAAACTCAATCAGGGGTTGTGTGATCTCTATAGAAACTCTCAGCATTTGCCCTTATGTTCCTCAATGGAACAAAATGTCTGTGGAGATTCTCAATCATCCAGGTCTTAGTTGTCCCAAAGTTGATGGATTTCAGAACTGAAGAAACTTCTTGGATGAGAAATGAAATATTTTCAAGGAAAAAAAAAAACACAAGAAAGTCCAGTTGCCTTTTGGAAAAGCACCTTTGGGACAATGGAACAATAGGATCTGAAGTGGATGGGTGGGGGGCATAGGATACTGATGAAATTGTAAGTCCTGAGGAGTCAGAGAGGAAGAATTGTGTGTGAGTTCAAAATTCAATGTTAAGGAGAGCAGAACAGAATATGATTTAGGAGATTTAAAGAAAACACATATCAGTAAAATTCAACTCACAATTTTCTCCATTCTAAATTAATTTATAGTCCATTTTCAGTATCAAACAATTATATTTATATCTACAGTATAAACATATGCATCAAAGTCTTATGTGCAGACAGGCATTTGGTAGCCCAAGCAGGAGACCCTACACCATTTCTGACAAATGGCAGTCCAATCTCTTCTTGAAAGCCTCCATTGATGAAGCTCCCACAACTTCCGAAGGCAAGCTGTTCTATTGGTTGGTTGTTCTCACTGTCAGAAAGCTTCTCCTTATTTCCAGGTTTAATCTCTCCTTGTTCAGTTTCCATCCATTATTCCTTGTCTAGCCTACAGGTGCTTGGGAAAATAACTTGACCCAGGGGTGGGATTCAAACTTCTTAACAACTGGTTCTGTGAGTGTGGCCTAACTTGTGGGTGTGGCTTGGTGGTCATGTGACTGGGGTGGGAGTGGCTTGCTGATTGGGTGTGGCTACATGGTCATGTGACTGGGGTGGGCATGGCTATGTGGTCATGTGACTGGGGTGGGCGTGGCCCTGTGGCTGGCAACCCACATTTAAGTGGTCCTCACTTAATGACCAGGTGCTCACTTAGGGGCCAATTGCTTAGCATGATATAAGGATTAATGCAAATTGGAAAGGAAAGACTGCAGAGATTGTGCACAAGTGATTTGTACCAACCAACACACTATGTAACTGAAGATGGTTTATGTTTTATGTTTTTTGTTTATGTTTAAAAAAAATAAACCACTTTTATTTAAAAAAAATTCATTTATGTATACAACTTCTTGTTACATTGATGTTGCTATATATTGATTTGAACAGAGACAGATAATGTATAACATCAATATGACAAGAAGTTTGCCTGTCTCCCTTTTGGTAAGTTGCTTATTTATTTACTTACTTACTTACTTACTTACTTACTTACTTACTTATTTATTTACTATCTGTTTTTGTTTTTATTAATCATAAAAACAAAACAGATACTAAAGAAATAAATAAAGACATAAATAAAAAATATTTTATTATTCATCTTGATGTTTCTTCTTTGCTTAGAGGAGGTAGGGGACAGGAGCTGCTGCTTTGCCTCCTCAGTACCAATCGGTGGTGGAAGGCAAGGCAGCCAGCAAACCTTGGGCCGCGTCAGGTGAGGCAGTGGTACCGGGCCTGGGAGTCAGCTGGCGGCCTGCAGCGGCAGCAAGAGGAGGTAGGGGACCGGGCCAGCAGGAGATGCTGCTTTGTCTCCTCACTACCAATTGGTGGTGGGAAGGCAAGGCAGCAACAATGGAGGGCTGTGGGCAAGGGAAAATGGGGGCAGACGACCGGGACTGGCGGCAGTAGGTAGACAACTGGGTTGGAAGATCGTACTTACTGATCCACATCTTCGGAGGCTGGCGATGGGGTAGGCAGATCAAGCGGGTGAGGATGGCTAGCTGCAACAGTGGGAGGCACACAGGGCAAGGCAGGCTGGCTGGGCAAGGACGGTTAGTGGCGGTGGCGACTGGGGCTTGCAGCTTGCCCTCACTCAGCATGGTGGCAGAAGGCAGGCAGGGACGGACAGCTGGCTGGCTGTTTTGCTCAGCTGCTGCTGCTGCTGCTGCTGCTGCTGGTGTGAGTGATGGCGCTGCATGGGTAAATTTTTGTAATTAGCACACATGCATTATAAGTAGGGGTGGGGCGGATGGGTGGGGGAGAATGCAGAAGGGATTTTTGCACGTGCGCAGTAAAAAAACCTGTTTTTTTAAAAAATGTGTTTTTTTTTACTTTGGAGCGGTGAACAGGGGCGGGGGCCAGGGCAGCAAAGGGAGGGATGGGTGGGGGAGAATGAGGAAGGTTTTTTTGCCCAGGTGCAGTAATAAAAACCAGTTTTTGGCCTGTAGGAGCAGTGGAGAGGGGCGGGGCCAAGCAGGGGTCAGTTTTACTGGTTCTTAGAACTACCGGAGATGTTAACAGCCAGTTCTATGGAACCGGTGCGAACCGGTAGAAACCCAACCCTGACTTTACCCCTTCCTCTCTGTGGCAATCATCAAATATTGGAGGACTGCTATCATGTCTCCCCTGGTCCTTCTCTTCACTAGACTAGTTCCTGCAACCAGTTCCTGCAACCCTTCCTTATATGTTTTAGTCTCCAGTCCCCTAATCATCCTGGTTGCTAGAGTCTCACTATCTTTTTTATAGTGTGGTGACCAAAAGTGGATCCAATACTCTAGGTGTGGTCTTACTAAGGCTTTATAAAGATTAGAAGGTGAGGTCTACAATTAGAGCCTAAGCAAAGATTTGTTGTATAAATTTTAAGTTTAGGGGAGTTTATTTTTGATTCAACATGCTTTAATATTGCACAGGGTTCTGTGTTTCATGCTGAAGTAGATAAGCAAAATGGTATGCCTTGTTTGGCTATTGGCTGACACTTTCTCTCTTTGTAAATGTTCTTTTGCAGGAAGATAACTTCTGTTCATTCTTGCTCTCCTGTCAAATTTTAAATAAACAATACAGCAATTATCGTATTATGCCATAAGCTTGTTGTTGTTGTTGTTGTTGTTGTTGTTGTTGTTTTTGTCATCTGGCTAATTTGGAAAATGAATTGTCTTGAGAATAAGCATCAGGTTAATTAGCTCAAGGAAGTATATTATGTAATGCATGGGAATCTGAACTGTCGTAACATTGAAAGTGATTCTTTTTGGTGAGAGTTAATTTCACAGAGAGCAAACTTACAGATTTTATTATTAAATTAGATAATAATTATTAGATATAATACAATTATTATATTATTGTTATTAATTAGATTTATAAGGCTGTCCAATTCAAACAATTTGACACTTTACAACAGAAAAACAATAGTGTGACTTTCTGACCAAACAATTCTCAAATCCTCAAATCACATAACATTCAACATGTACAATATGTACTATAAATATAAAATCCAAAATGGCCACTAAGAATCATAGCAGAATAATTATCCTACAAATGTAATTGAGCTGAGGAGAGCAAGGCACCAGCAAATTTCTCATAGTTCTGGTTTATAAGTAAAGGCTTACAATGATAGCCATTCTTTCACAATAAAATTTAAAAACTATCTGTTTGAATCCCCAAGATTGCATGTCCCTCTTTGAACCCCATGCAAATTGACAGAACCAGATCTTCAGATTCTTCTCACCACATCTCTGGGGAAGGGGCGATGGGAAAGAAGGCTCTATTTCTGGACCCAATCAATCAAAATTCTTTAATCAACAGAATCCATAAATACCTTCCCTGCTTGACTGGGTGACACAGGTTGATGTGATGGGGTAAGATGGTTCCTCATACTTTGGAAAATCTTGAGGTAAAGCTCTTATATGCATCCTTTCATAATATACCCAATTTTAGCAGACATTTGCTCAATTATACATGTTTAATATAAACTTCTTCACTGTATGCTTTTTAAAGATATCACTATTGTTCATGCAGACCTTACACATGTCTTTGAAATATAGTTTTTGATGGACAATGAAAGACATGACCGGAGTTCATTCATTGCTCCATTTATGTCAATGCAGAATACATTTTGAGAAATTATGCCAATTTGTACTGACAGAAATTCACGATAGATTTATTTTTATTTTTCCAGAAGAAAACCTAAGTGGAAAAATGTTTAGGTAAAATGGAAAGGAAGTGGCCACACTAATGATTTCAAGGAAAATTTAGGGATGCATGTTCTCCAACAAATGACCTCCATTATTGTCATCACATTTTGTCACTATACCAACTCATAATCATATGCAAATACTCTTTAATGTATTAAATTTTAACATAATAGCAATTGTCACCAATTATTAATTTCTGATCACTTTCACTAATTGGTTATCAGCATTTACCTTTGTATAAATGTTATGTTACCTATTCAAATATCTGTCTGTTAATACCATTAATTAAATTATTGTTCTTTGGTTCTTGGCATCTGTCTTCATAGAACTATAAATGGAAATGGAATCTCATTTTTCATGTGAAAAATATTGTTCCTCAGTCATAGGAAGAGAGGTGAGTCAAAGGAAGTCATAAAATCATAGGAAGAGATGTACTGAACGAATCAAATGAAACACAGCTAATAATTCCATTTCCAGCAGTAGCCAGGCAGATGCTGTAAAACAGCCTACAAATAAGGCATGAAGCCAACAATTGCTCGCATTTCTTTTACAACTGTCTTATTCTTGCACTATTAGCATATACTGACACGAAACCGCAGTGTTATAACCCATTTCTTGGGGTATTTCCACTAAACGTGATAAGACTGAACAGACATTTATATGCCAATGAAAGGAGGAAGGCAGGGATTGAGGAAGCAGCCAGGTTAGTGTAATGGTTAAGGCATGAGGCTAGAAACCAGGAGACTGAGCTCTAGTACTTTCAGCCCTAGGAAGGGCACAATCACAAAACACTTCCCAAAAAACCTGTGGCAATTGCTAGGAGTTTACATTGACACAACGGCATCCGATAGAAGCTATCAACTTGGAACTAAAGGAGAAATTTTCTGACAGTTAGAACAATTAATCAGTGGAACAAGTTGCCTCCAGAAGTTATAGGTGCTCCAATACTGGAAATTTTTAAGAGATTAGACAATCATTTGTCTGAAATGTATAAGGTTTCCTGCCTGAGCAGATGGGTTGGATTAGAAGACCTCCAAGGTCCCTTCCAACTCTGTTCTTCTGTAATATATATGTATGTATCTGTTGTGGTTAGCCAGCAGTAGGTGCGAACTGCTGAGGAGAGCGAGGATTCAGATGAGGGTCCAGGACCATTAGGGAGTGGATCAGAGATTGTAGGGGCTGGCAGCAGTGATGAGGAGGTTCCTGAGGAGCCTGTGTCAAGTGTGTGTGCGCGCAGGATTGCTCGTAGGAAAGAGCAGTTACAATACCACAGATGACTCGGGAGTAAGGCTGCAAGGTAATGGCCCCTCCTTCAAGAAGATAAAAGCCAGCTGTGAAATTAACCTTGTTTGCAGAAGGCAAAGATGTTTTGAAACTCCAGCCTCGTGGACATTCCAGTATCCTAAGTTTGTATTTGAAGATTCTTATTTTGCAAATTTTTTCTTGTCTGTTATCTTTTGGCAAGTGTCGCACAATTTGGCAAGGCTTGAGCTTATCACAGCTAATTATTTTGTAAAAGCATTACAAGGTTTCTGTTCTTTTTGAATTGTGTTTGATTTGTTGGAAAAGGGCGTCGGTCAGAACAGTATCTGGGTACTTCATTATGCTTCCGTTGCCTTAACTTGCCACTTTCTTCTGCCAGTTCCCATGTCAGTTCTTCCTTTTTGTCTCTTCTTCCCATTTTCTTGTCATTCTATCTAATTTTATTTTTCCATATATGCATGAATTCTAGGCTTGCTCTCAACTTTTTTCCTCAGACTTATGCTTTTGAGTTTCTATAATTCAGCAAGCAGTTTTGACAATATTTCTGGGCTACTAGTTAAGGATTCGTTATGCTCACAAAGGAAGATGCGCACATACTGTACATCCAATTTAGAATGTTTATTTATTCATTTAATAATCAAAGTTATATAGGCACCTATCTCACCAAAAGCTTTTATGGATATCACATAACAATCAGATAGAATAACAAATGTAAAAATAACAGAGATATTGCATTAAAAACCATGTTAGTGTTTGGGGACAAACCCCCGAGCAGAGTGCACAGCAGCAG